AAAAAAAAAAAAAGACTTAACTAAAAGAGTTAGCTCACTAAATTTGGGGAAATTTGAACATCAAACAAATAATTTTAATTATACTGCATTGAGTTGTTTTTAAAAAATGACTCTGGTGATACTGAACAAAGGTGATAGAGGGGAACAATAAAGCCCTTTTAAAAATATTAAGGCTAAGCAAATTGTCACCTGTCTGTAATCCCAGCTATTTGGGAGGCTGAGGCAGGAGGATTACAAGTTTGAGACCAACTTTGGCAGCTTAGTGAGATACCCTGTCTCCAAAAAAGAGCTGGAGGTGTTAGTTCAGTAGCAGAGCAATTGCCTAGCATATGTGAGGCTCTGGATTTGGTCTCCTGCACTGTTAAAAAAGAAAAAGAAAAACAGAAGAAGAATACTAGCTCATGAATAACAATATTAAAAAGACATCATTTGCCATTTGCCATTCCTAGTATAATATATAAAAATTTTCAGGTGAAGCCTATCACGAATGCCAAAACCCTGGAGAAATGATGTTGGACTCTTCACATGGGGCACAGATTGGTCACTTACCAATCACAAAGGGAAAAAAATACTTTTTTTTTTTTTAAAGAGAGAGAGAATTTTTTTTAATATTTATTTTTTTAGTTATCGGCAGACACAACATCTTTGTTTGTATGTGGTGCTGAGGATAGAACCCGGGCCGCACGCATGCCTGGCGAGCGCGCTACCGCTTGAGCCACATCCCCAGCCCGAAAAAAATACTTTTGCATTTTAGAAATTCTGCAGTTACTGCCTGAATCTGATAATCAAACTCAGTATCACTAGTGGTGGAAAATCCTAATGTTATGTGCCATTTATTTTTGGATGCAGTTAAGAAGTGCCCAATTCACTTATAAAATATTCTTCCCCAAAATGTTTAACCTAAATCTAATCAACTCTCATGTATATCTGCAGATATAGATAGACTCATAGATAATTCTACTATATGACCTTAGGTAGTTTATATTAGTATCTTCTTTAGTGTCAGAACCCTCACTTGTGAATCAATGGCATTGAATCGGATAAATGTAGCATGTAGTAAAAATAACATTGGTTCAGCTCATAACATTCATGGCTACCAAATATATAGCTGAATAAAAACTCTCTTTTCAACATCTAATTACTCTTGTGTAGTTTGATGTTATSTCTCAGAAATTCCCTGTATTTACTTAGAACTAACAGCAAATGAAGCCCTGAGAATGCCAAAAAGTCCTCTAATCGAAAATGTTCAAGCAGCATTTCAGGTAGGAGAGCATAGATTAGAACATCTCTATACTCATTAAGAATAGTTTGAAATGGTTTGACTTGTTTGAAATTCCCAAGGTCAAAAATGGTCAAACATCAGTAATTTCATATGATTCAACCTATTTGTGCATTAATGGCAGAGGCTTGATGTATCATCTTTATTTGTCAAGCACTCTTTTTTCTTCCTTATTGTTTTAGAGAAACATTTACTCACAGAAGGAAAGAGGAAGAACCTGTACTGATCCAAGTTTGAAAGAATTGGTGATGTGGACTGATATTCTAAACATTTTAGGGTATTTCTTCATTTCATAATCTCTCTCGTCCCTCATCCCTAYGTACTATAGTTATTCTTTTCAATCACTTTTAGCCTTTTCTTTCCCTTACTTTGAACTTTGGATTGGTCTTTTTGGATAGGGAGCTGCAGAATTTTGAAGACTTGAATAAAAATAATTTACATCAAATTTGAGCTGGTTCTCTTCTCAAGAGTACTTATAATAATGTAACTTTTTAAAGGCTAGTTAGTAGTAGAATGCAGAAGGTAAGATAGGTTGAGGGATTTTTAGTGTATTTAAAACTTTTTCTTCTGGGCTGGGGTTGTGGCTCAGTGATAGGACGCTTGCCTTGCATGCATGAGGTTCTGGGTTCGATCTTCAGCACCACATAAAAATAAATAAATAAAAAATAAAGATATTATGTCCATCTACAACTAAAAAGTTTTTTTTTCTTCTATTCAACATGAACAATTAAGTGATAACTCAGAGGAGATTGGAGAGGAAAGTTTCAGGCTGTGAGGCAGGATTGAAGTTATTACCTGATAGCAAGAATCCTCCCTGGAATATGACTGGTATAACCTGTCTTCCTCAAAGAATGAGTTCTGGGCAAATGTGGATAGTTTCCATATTCCCAACCTGTCTTTTTATTCTCTAAACCAAGAATAAATAAATTCATTGGAAGACTTAGCCTCTTAAGGAAATGTGGTGAAACCTGTATGTAAACAGCTTTMTTAAAAGCCCAATTATTGCCAGTGTGAAAATTATTATTTGTGTCTTAGACAGCTGCCCAGGAAGCAGTCCTGCATGCATCTGGAAATGGCACACATTTACCGTCTAAGGACTACTGCCTTCTATATAACCCTCAGTGGACAGTGCTTCCAAGTACCCTAGAAAATGCAGTAAGTAAATCAGAGTTACTTTTTATTTATAAAAATAAAACTATTGAAAAGTGAAAATGAGTGATAATTACGTTTTAGCGTGTGAACTAATTTAGATACAGGGTCATTATTAATAATTATTATTTTATTGCCTTTGCTAAGTGTTTTTCTCTCTATGAGAGAAGTAAGTTGTGTACTTTTAAAATACCTCCAAACCTCATTGTTTGTCATAAAATATTTCTAATTAAAAAGAGCACTTTTTTGTTCTTAGTGCTGAGGATGGAATTTAGGACCTCATGCATACTGAGAATATGATCTACATCACTAAGCTATACCCCAGTGCCTAAAAGAACACTGAATTAAATTGATACTGGTATTTATCACTGAATGCCTGTAGGTAATATGTGATATTTGTCATGTTAAAGACATTTCTTATTTTCAGACTTCCATTAGTTTGCTGAATCTGACTACTACACCACTGTGTAGCCTTTCTGATATTCCACGTGGTGGCCTAAAGAACAAAGCAGTTGTGGTACAATGGGGAACCTGCGATATACTTGAAAAAGCCAGAATTGCACAAAAAGGAGGTGCCGAAGCATTGTTGGTTGCCAATAACAGTGTCTTAGTAAGTTTTAAAACTGTGGCTTCTTTGGAGCTCATGACATGAAATTTTATAGGAATTAAGTAACTTTTCTTGTGTGTGGTTTAGAGACTGAGATAAATAATCTGATGGTAGGATTCTTTGTCAGTAAACATTTGGGATCTGATAGGCATTTATTTGAAAAGTTTTGTAGTTTTCTATTCTTAGAATAGAAAAGACTGTGTTAGGAATGTGTATATACAAACACACATATGCATGTGTATGTGAATATGGACCATACACAGATATCATATATAGTATATATTAGCTTAAATTCACGTTAAAATGATTCATTCTATTTTGAGAACTCATAATATTAAGAAAGAATTCCCCAAACTTTGTTTTATAGCTAAAGAAAGATATAATGTTTACTCTTAATAGAATAGTTTGTATCACTTTTATTCTGTAAATATATTAGTAGTTAATAAGTTTTCATAATATGTATTTTTCTTTTAGTTTCCTCCCTCAGGGAACAGGTCTGAATTTGATGATGTGAAAATACTGATTGCCTTTATAAGTAAAAAAGACCTTAAAGATATGAAACAGGTACATTAGTAATTATAAAGTAGCTGAAATTTATAAATGGTATAACTCTTTAATCTCTGATACTTAGTTTTGATTATTATCTATGGTGCATTTGCTAACAAGAAGCTTAAAAGCCTATGAAGTCTTTATTTAGGAAGTACTTGCCTCTCATTTGACACAAAGTGTCTCAAAGGCTGGCTTTACAAAAAATGTTTATTTGAGTTCTATTAAAATCTCTTTGTGTCATTTTTTTGTATCTTAATTCTAAATCCCTGAACAAAATGATTATATGAAACATTCCACTTTTGAGATTTTATAAACCAAAGTATATGCTCATATTTTTGGCTAGAAAATATATTATGTTGTCTAGTCTTCTTGACTGATGTACAGTGTCCATTCCAAAATGACATGTGGAAGATTGCTGCCATATTCCATAATAGAATTTCTGTGTTTTAATTGTCATTTTTGCCTTTCAGACTTTTGGAAGTGACATTACAGTAAAAATGTACTCTCCATTGTCACCTAACTTTGACTATACTATAGGGGTTATTTTTGTAATTGCTGTGTTCACTGTGGCATTAGGAGGATACTGGAGTGGACTAATTGAATTGTAAGTTTAATTAAACTTTTATGTTTTGTGATAAATCGTTTAAAATATTRTAATCATTTTATTTTAACCATATGATGACATTTAAAATCTTCCCCTGACTTCAGAACATAGTGACAATAAAACCAGATTTTTGTTTGTCCTTATTTAAGTCATATAAAGTTTTCACTGAGAAGGAGAGAGTCATAGTTTCCTCTAACTCTTCTGTTGAAAGGGAAACATTAAAGTCACATAAAAAACCCTCTTTTGGGGACTGGGGTTGTGGCTCAGTGGTATTGTGCTCKCCTAACACATGTGAGGCACTAGATTCGATCCTTTGCACAACATAAAAATAAATAAATAAAGGTATTGTGTCCAACTACAACTAAAAAGAAATGTTTTTAAAACCCTTTTGGAAAGTACTTACCTCTCATTTGGCACAAAATATCTCAATTCAACATTCACAAAGGATATTCATTTGTTTTGAATTCTGGTAAAACTTTGGGTCTTGTCTTCTATCATGTCTTATTTGTTTTTTGGTTTTAGTTTTGGGGGRTATTGGGTGGGTACCAGGGATTGTATTTAGGGGCATCAACCACTGAGCCACATCCTCAGCCTTATTTTGTACTTTATTTAGAGATAGGGTCTCTCTGAGTTGCTTATTTAGCACCTCACTTTTGCTGAGGCTGGCTTTGAACTTGAAATCCTCCTGCCTCAGCCTCCTGAGCTACTGGGATTATAGGCATGCACCACCACACCCAGCTTATATATTTAATTGTCTCTCTCAGGAAAGGTAAAAATACTTAATATTCCTAATGTGCCTATTTATTTACACTGGAAGAAAATAAGCAGAGAAGAAAGGAAGTTTTTCAGTTAATTCTGCCTGAGTCATCAACAGTAGGGCTTCATTATTTTACTTATTGATTTAGGAACTCTTAAGGATATTAGGCACATAAAAATTCCAAATGTACATAAAATTTGGATTTTCCTATTTATTAGTAACCTAAACACAATCTTCATACAGTTTTTGTACCTTTGGCTCTAGGTTAAAACAGGCAATACAGTATAGAAGGATCAGTTCATATTTGTAACTCTGAATGAAAACCTATGCTAAGAGCATATTATTTTATGTATAAAGGATAATATATTAGTTTTTGAATTGGTCTATATAGGTTTTATTAAAAAGGGCTTATTTATAATTACATGAAGCTGAGCTTATTTGCAATTTCTTAAATACTAAAATTTGATTAACTTATATTTAGAGGGAAATCTTAAGAGTTTAACATGTATAGATTGATTTTATATATTTGGAAAGCTTGTTTCAACATATATCACATTTTTAATGTGAATAAGCATGGTTTTTTCATAATTTTCTTCATAAAGTACAGTATGTAATACTTCTAAGCTCTCTAAAATCATCTTCCATATTATTTGATGAAGCTTTATAATTTTCTGAAAGCTACTGATTGATCAAACATGTTTTACTATTTTATATAGATTCTCACTGTACTTCCATTACTATGTAAATTTTTTCTTTTCTAGAGTAGTATTTCTCAAACTGTAGCATGCATGCTAACTATTGGATATCTTGTTAAAATCCAAATTCCAATTTAGTATGTTTGGGATGGGCTGTAATTCTACATTTTTAACAAGTCTTCAGTGATTTTTGCTTGCCTATGGACCATACTTGGAGTTAGCAAGTTGTGTTAGTTAGCTTTGCAACTGTATGACAAAATATCTGAGACAGTTTAAATGAAGGAAAGATTTATTTTTGGCTCATGGTTTCAGAGGTTTTAGTCCATGGTGATTTGGTACTATTGCTTTGGGCCTGTGGCAAAGCAAAATTTTATGGTGGGACATACATGGTATAGAGGCCCAGAAACAGAGAGAAAGAGAAAGAATGGGCCAGTCCCAATATTACCCACAAGGACACTCTCAATGACCTAACTTCTTTCCGTTAGGCCTACCTTCTAAAGGAACTACACCTCCCAAAAGCACCACAGGCTGGTGACCAGGCCTTCATATATGGCATTTGGGGGGTACTTAAGGTAGAAACAATCTTACTTACATAGGTGTCAGAATAGACTCCTTCTCAAGAAAACTGAAGATTGAAGAGGAGTATATATCAGCTTCTGTATTCATGAAACATGACAGTGGGTAGAAACAAAGGACTTGTTGCGTTGAGTAGCCAGTTTGGGAGAGATGTCCCATACCTGCAGGATTATGAATTTTAAAATCAAGGGGGCTGATTCTAAGAACAAAACAAAGCTAGAAAGAAGTAAGTATATGAGGGGGCTGGCCATAAGGAATAAGGGAATCTGAATCAAGGAAAAAGTTCTATAACAAGAATTTTTAAAAACATACAGAGTACCATTTATCAAGTAAAGACAGAGAATGAGGTTTAGGGAAGGGAAAATTTACCAGAAGAGGACCACATAACCCAAAATTACTCTGCCAAATGAAAGATGTACCTTATGCAAAAAGGAAAGATGCCTTAGTTCCATAGAAAAACTTTTACAAACCAAGCACTGTGATGCACATCTGTAGTCTTAGCTACTTAGAAGTCAGAGGCAGGAGGATCACAAGTTCAAGGCCAACCAGAGCAACTTAGAACCTGCCCCTCCCCCTATAAATAAAAGGAGGGTCTGGGAGTGTAGCTCAGTGGTAGAGCACTTGCCTAGTCTTGGGTTCTAACACCAACACACACACACCAAAAAAAAAAAAAAAAAGAAAGAAAGAAAGAAAAGAAAAAGAAAGAAAGAAAAAAGAGAAAAAGACTTTTAGCAAAGAGTTAAAATCTTATTACAATAAGATTGTGGTGCTCAAGTTTTATAACCTCAGTATGACACAGAAGAAAGGTTATCTTCAATTATTGCATGTGGCCCTCAAGCTGATTGAGTACAATGTTTTTGTTTTTGTTTTCAGAAAAGGATTATTTATTAAGGGAATACAATTTTTTTTAAAGTGAATTGTAATATTTTAATGTGATATAAATCTAGTATAATCTTTGCTCCAAGAAAAGCTTTTTAATACACTGAATATGAATGTATAAATCATTATTATGATATATATGTGTTCTATGATAAAAATGTCTTTACATTTGTTTGCAATGACAGATACCAAAGGCTAGCAATACATACCACATTATTGAAATTTGTGTTAATGCCCTGTCATTCAATTCTACAATTCCAAGATAGGTACTGTTGTGTCTTGGTACCAACTCTCTCTTTGCCCATTTCCCTGGCACCCTCCCTGGAGTCACAGGGTGGCCATCCCAGTAAATAGTTTTCTAATAAGAAAGTGGTATGCTGGTAGATAAATAGTTGCAAATGTGCGGTTTGATAAAATAAACTTTAATTTTTTTTTTTAACCTAAAGTTTGTATTGAGTCCAGACTTAAGAGCAGGACCAGGACACATCCAAGGGGAATTAGAGTTTAATAGAACAGTATTGAGGGGACTAGAGCTGGGAAAGTATATGGTAAGTTCCATGTAACTGGGAAGAGACAATGAAGTTGATTCAACAAATGATACTTGACAAATGACACTTAACTGCTCAGCAAATGATATACCTCCTTTCTCTATCTCAGTTCCCTTCCTCTACTGTATCCCCAAATATTAATATATTTATCTAATAAATTATCTATTTAACAGTTTTGCCTGGGAGGGGGCTGCTTTTTCAAAAGTTAGTGGTTAGGAATAGATCCTCTCTGGAGGGTAGAATTATGTTGGGGTTTTTATAGTTAGAATCAAAACTAAATTGGGGTTAGATCTTGAAAATAACTGTACTTCGGTGGGGAAGGGGGGCTGGGGTTGTGGCTCAGCAGTAGAGCGCTGGCCTGGCATGTGCAAGGCACTAGGTTTGATCTTCACCACATAAAAATAAATAAATAAAATAAAGGTATTGTGTTTAACTCCAGCTAAAAAAAAAATTTTTTTTTAAATAACTGTGCTTGGTAGAACTTTGCCAAAGTTCCTATGTTTGTTTATGCAGGGAAAACTTGAAGGCAGTGACAAACACTGAAGATAAAGAAATGAGGAAAAAGAGGGAAGAATATTTAACTATCAATCCTCTTACAGTTGTAATATTTGTGGTCATCTGCTGTGTTATGATGGTCTTGCTTTATTTTTTCTACAAATGGTTGGGTAAGAAATTATATTTTATGCTACTTTTGGTATATATTATTTTCATTTACTTTGCCTGATTTATCTATTTGTTTAAAGCATTCTATCTGAAAAAACATTAGTCAACAATTTGGATATTTTGCCAAAAGTGCTCCATCTCTATTACTCTGAGATATGAATACTTGTTCATAGATTACTTGAAAGAATGGCTCTGATTCCTGAATTTCCCTTTCTGCAGATTAGAGATGATAGCCCATTATCTATGTTGCAGACTAATGATTTCATGTTGGCTATGTTTAGCTACATGGAATAAAAGATTATTAAAATTACTGATTTGTTGCCTCTGCTTACTCCCAAGGTGTAGTTTATTCTTTTTTCAATTTGCAAATCAAGATGCTGTATTGCTTAGATTTTGTTTTACTTACACAAGCAGTTAGGATCATACCATATATGAAGACACAGAGGTACTTGCCTACATGGTCTAGAAAGTAACTGGTACTCTTTTTTCCTTTAAGAAGGCAGGTGTAAGAACTGAATGAAATAGCTTGCTCTTTCCCTAGACAAATCATATTAGTGGTCTGACAGGGTGAAAATTTGCAATTTCTGGCCAGTATACTGTATAAATAGGAGGAAGACCAGGAAAAAGGGGAGTGTTCCTGATGAAAACTAGCAAAAACCCTTGTAAAAACCACTAAATGCTTATTTGGAGATGATCAGCATAAATTTCTGGACCAGAAAACTGAGGCCCTACTATTGATTTCAGTTTATTGTTCAGTTACTCCTGAGTTGTGGCARCAATTTAAAAAGTAGGCAGGACGGATATGGTGGGATGCCTGTAATTCCAGTGACTCCAGAGGCTGAGATAGGAGGATCATAAATTTGAGGCCAGTCTCAGCAAGTTAGTGATACCCTATCTAAAATAAAAAAATTAAAAGGGCTGGGGCTGGGATTGTGGCTCAGTGGTAGAGTACTTTTCTAGCAAATGTAAGGTATTGGGTTCGATTCTAAGCATCACATAAAAGTAAATTAAATAAAGGTCTGTTGGGGATGTGACTCAAGCTATAGTGCGTTCACCTGGCATGCATGCGGCCCAGGTTCGATCCTCAGCACCACATTCAAACAAAGATGTTGTGTCCGCCGAAAATTTAAAAATAAATATTAAAAAAAAAATAAAGGTCCATCAACAACTAAAAAAATTTTTTTTTTAAAAAGGACTGGGGATGTGATTCAATAGGCTTAATTCCCAATTAAAAACAACAATAAAAAACTAGCCTGGTAGCATTCCATGATTAATTAATTCCAATGATTAAAAAATAATCATTGTGAGTATTACTATTTCAATCTGTTGCTGAGGGATTGAGTACTAAAATTATTTTTATATTATGTTGAGATTGAGCAGCTGAGTTTAGTAATCTTATGCCTGGCCTTCAATTTTTAATCTTTGTCCCTCAGTTGATACATCAATGGTTTTTGGACAGGAAAGATATTCTCTACACTATCTTAAAGCACATTTTAATTTTTGGTAAGAAATTTTCTTAAACTCACTGCTATTTAAAAAGTTGATTCTGTTTATAAATGTAATTTCTGATATAGGAAGATCATTCAGCTTTATAGTTACTCTAGGACACAGGATTTAATTATGACTCTTGCAATACCTTGTGTCCCGATGTTGCAAGTTTTTGTTTTCTCAGAATTGTTCCTATGGCCAAAATTGCTGCCATTTCTTAATATACTAACTAACRGAGTTGTACTAAATTGCTGAGGCTGCCCTTGCCATTTTATATTAAAAACATTGTTTTAACAAAGTGCTGCTCAAAGATGAGTTATGTTAACCAAAATCTTCCTCATACTTAATCATTTTCTAAGATATAGTACAATATTGAATGAAGCACTTAAATTCATCAAGAAGCATGATTTCCACCAGTGTGTTAAAATTTGGGATTAGGCAATTTTGATAGACGGCTTACCAAAATCAGCTTGGCAGTCTATCTTCCTACTCACATTACCACACATAACCAATAATAAAAATAATAACATAAAATTTATTTATGTGCTAGATAATATTCTAAGCACTTCATATATATTAGTTATCTAATACAATAATCCCAAAATAGGTATTATTAAATTTTACATTTCAGACATGAGAATCAAGGGACTAAAAAAGTGATTTATCCAGCATCACCAGTCAGAAAGTGGCTATTCCTAAATTGCAGTGTCTAGACTAGTCTCTCTTTTTCTCTTACAAATAAAGCTATAGTTTTGTGAAATTAAGTAGAATTCAAAAAAATCAGGTGCAATTTTTGTTTGTATTATGAGATTTTTTAGGAGGATCAGCAAAGTTTTATATATATACATAATTTTTTTTTTGTACCAGAGATTGAGAGCCACATTCCCACCCCATTTTATTTTTTATTCCTGAAACAGGGTGTCACTAAGTTTCTGAGGCTGGCTTTAAACTCAATCCTCCTGCCTTGGCCTCCCAGGTCACTGGGATTACAGATGTGTGCCATCATGCCTAGCAAATGTCTTTAATTTTAAATAATTCTCAAATAAGTATGAATAATATAGTAAAACACTCATCAATCTTAACTACCTGAGTATCATATTGTAGCAAAGAATTTTGTTTAAATCTATTTGGTTTTACCACAGGTCAAGTTATTATAGATGAATTTTCCATAGGAAAATGTAGATAACATGGTTTGTGTTTATGGCAAGTGTTCATTTCCATCTCTAAGTTGCATTTAAAAAAATATTTGTTAGTGGCTTATTAATTCTTCTATTCCTTACATTTAATTAAATATTCATAAATATCTATACCTCACTTCATAGAAACTTTTAACATATGTCACTTTAATTATTAAATGATAAAAAATGCAGGGCCACCTTCAGCTCCTTAAGCAATCCTGTCCATGTATAAAGGAATGTAAAAACACATAAAATAYCCACTCTTAAAATTCAAGAACTAAATATATTCAGTTTAGTAACTAATTCAGATACTAATATATTCACTGGATTGAAAGTATCATAATTTAGTAAAGAAGCAAAAGAATTAATATTGCTTATATATTTTCTTCTCACATTACCTTCTCTTGTTTTTTTCTAGTTTATGTTATGATAGCAATTTTCTGCATAGCATCAGCAATGAGTCTGTATAACTGTCTTGCTGCATTAATTCATAATATACCATGTGGACAATGCACGTATGTATCTCTCATGCCAAATGTTGTTATATTATTATTTGTAATTTAATTTTATACATAGAAAAGTAAGAGTGTTATTTTAAAACCTGTGTAGTCCAATGTGTTGGATCTATGCTGTTTATGTTTAAATTAAATTAAATTAAAGTTATAAATAAAAAAGTTATATTAATTAAATTTTAATGTTATATTTTTTAAAACTTAAGTTTTAGTTCCCCAGTCTCATACATTTCAAGGATTCAGTAGCCACATGTGGACAGTCACCACCACAGTAGCCACATCACCACAGAAAGTTCTTTTTCACTGACTATTATGTCTCATTTGTTTAAAGGCTTCTGAATTGTTATTTCAGTCACTTCTTGTGATTGGTTAATATTTGGTAACTTTTTATACCAAGTGAACATTGTACRTCATTGGTAGCATAAACTAAAATATTTTAATCTGTGTTTTAGGATTACTTGTCATGGCAAAAGCATTGAAGTGAGACTTATTTTTCTCTCGGGACTATGCATAGCAGTAGCTGTTGTTTGGGCTGTGTTTCGAAATGAAGATAGGTATGAATACTCAATGTATTTGATTTTAGATTTAAGGATGGATTATTTTGTAACTTGCCATAATACTTATTCATTATGATTATTATAGAATTTGTTTTCTTTTACATTCACATGGTGAACCTAGGGGCACTTAACCACTGAGCCACATCCCCAGCCTTTTTTTTTTTTATATTTTATTAGAGACAGGGTCTCGCTGATTGCTTGAGGGCCTTGCTAAGTTACTGAGGCTAGCTTTGAACTTGCAATCCTCCTGCCTCAGCCTCCTGAGCCAATGGGAACAAGCTACTTTTTAATGAGCAGATCTTATGCTAATGATTTGAGTTTATATAGAGAAGGAAATGTGAATTATGATCAAGTACCTGAACTTCAAATATGTATTTAATTGTGATATAGCTACACAATGGGGTATAATATAATTCTAAAGAATGAAGATCTCTATGAATTGATATACAGTGATTTCAAGATATATTTTTAAGAGAAAAGAGCAAAGTACAAAATAATATGTATGGTTTGGTACCTTTGATGTTAGATAACATGAATAGGATGTACAAGATACCTGTCCATTTGCAGAAAGAAGAGGATGTAGAAGACATCTGTCCTTTGCAGGAAGAAAATCCAGAAAAATATATATATACTTAGGTTAATTTAATGACATACTAAGAAAAGTAATGATGATCTAAAAGATTTAATGTTTTAAAATTCAGAAAACAATGTTCATACAAGTTTTAGGTAGCTTCATGTATGATTACCAATTGATAATTTTGTATGTCAATTTCTGATAAAGTTGCATAGCTCTCACTTCCTTTATGTTCAAGCTGTTTGAATGTATACWAACACTAGTGTCCTTAGTAAACAGCTATCTTTCTAGAAAGAAATGTATGTATAAGCTCAAAGATTTATATACATTCCCCTGAAGTAGCCTTTCAACTTTTTCTTAGTATAATGGTATTCTTTATTCTGCTAGAACAGTGAATTACTAAATGGAGAGGATAAGCGGGGTTTTTGTTACTGTCATACTAGGTGTTTAATAATCAAGCAGTCAAACCGTAGCTATTGAGTAATATTACTTTAGTGATCTATTTCTTTGAAAAGTTTTATCTAAACATAGCAGGATAAAACAATAAGGCAATATTTTTTGATTCTAGGTGGGCTTGGATTTTACAGGATATTTTGGGGATTGCTTTCTGTCTGAATTTAATTAAAACACTGAAGTTACCCAACTTCAAGGTAAAGTGTATTACTTTGCTAGTTAAAATATTTTTCCTTTTAAAAAAACAACTTTATTAAGATATTATTTTCAAACAGTAAATACACCCATCTTTAGTATACTGTTTGTTGAATTTTTTTTTTTAAAGAGAGAGTGAGAGAGGAGAGAGAGAGAGAGAGAGAGAGAGAGAGAGAGAGAGAGAATTTTTAATATTTATTCTTTAGTTCTCGGCAGACACAACATCTTTGTTGGTATGTGGTGCTGAGGATCGAACCCGGGCCGCACGCACGCCAGGCGAGCGCGCTACCGCTGAGCCACATCCCCAGCCCTGTTTGTTGAAATTTTACAAATGTATAACTTTATAATCACCATCCCACTAAAGTTATAGAACATTTCTCTTTTCTTTTCAAAAATCTCTATCATGCCCTTTTGAAATTAATCCTAATCCCCAGGAAAAGGCAACCACTGATTTGTTAGCTAAAATATTCATGGATCTAATGTGCYCAGTTCATAAAATCCTTATCAGACTAAATGTCACAGGGAAACATTTMTTTGATTCAGTGATTTTTTTTAAAACAAATGGGATAAAGAAGAAAAGGATTCTAATGTGGATTGTAGAACAAAAGTACACATATTAGTAACTAAAATATACCTTTAAAAACAGCATTCAAAGGTGTTTCATGTGCTTATTTATATTTGCAAAATAATTTGATCTCTTAATGTAGACATGGGAAATTTGATCTTTAAATTTATTTCTTTCCTCAACAGTCATGTGTGATACTTCTAGGCCTTCTCCTCTTCTATGATGTATTTTTTGTTTTCATAACACCATTCATCACAAAGGTATGATCATTTTTTAATCCATAAAGAAGTGTGTTAAAACATGAGAATCTTAAATCTGCTTATAGATTATTGACTTTACAGATGTTTTCCACTGAGTTCCAGTTCTTTTTTAGAGAATTGTCACTGAAATACCCTCTTTTAATAGAGGGTATTTTAATACAGGGTATTAATTTTCAAACCTTTAATTCTTTATGTTAGATTTTTAAAAAGTCTTCTGATGTAATAATGAGAATGTTTATATTTTTTCTTTCTTTTGAAAGTAATTTTTCTTACATAAGTTAGTAAATATCTACTGTAGGGAGTATAGTCAATAAGGAGGGAGGGAAGAAGAGAGAGAAAGAGAGAGGGAGGGGAGAATGGATAAAGGAAAAAAAGGAGTGAGGGAAGGAAGGGAGAGAAGGAAGAAGGCAGTGGGGAAGTATGGAAAGAAATGTGTCATTGCTAGTTTAATTTCCCAAGTCCTAGCTCTAAGAAAGAGCAGTGCACTGGAAGTCTGAAAGCCTAGAGTTTAACTCTGTACTGTAACTTTGTAACCCTGGGTAAGTGACTTGGTCCTTTCTGCCTCCATTTCCTAATTCGTTATGTGAGGAAGTCTTGCTAGCTTTCCACCACACCATCTTTTGGTTGCAACTGAAAGAACCCAACCTAAGCCTAAAAAGGTCCCAGGTGTGTGTTTAGAAGCCAGGATAGTGTTGACTCCAGGAGAAAATAGACCCATTGCCACAAGCATCCTTTTAGCCTCTGTCCATTTGTCCATTCTCTTAGACTGGCTGCCATGACTGGGAGCTCATAGGTCATATATTCTTAGCTTTGCAATAGCTCCTCAATAAAATAAGAAGTATTGGGTATATATAGTTGTCCATTATTTTTCCAGTTTTTCTACTTTGACCCTTTTCCTGTCTCATGAATATGTTATTATTTATTATTTAGTTTTCTACAATTTCTCTGATTTTATTTTCTACATCATCTCTTCCTCCTTTGTCACTCTTACATATTTGAATTTGATGTGTACTTCTTTTCTTCCCCTCAGGTGGTGGTGGTTGGTTATTATTATTGTTCTCATTCACAATGCGGGGATGCAGCCCAGGTTGCACATACTAGGCAAGCACTCTACCATTGAGCTACACTCCCCAGCCCCTACTGGTTCTTAATCATTTTTTTTAATATTCTGCCATCTGTGAAATCACTATAAAAATCTGCACTTCTAATATTTGCTTTGATGGCATAAGGACAAATATGTGCCCTGTGGGAAGCTAAAACTTCAGCTAGGTTACAAATAATAGTTAACTGTCTTAAATTATCACTTCCCACACTGTTTTACTAGCACATTTCCATGCCTTATTGATGAGCCATTTGATTCATTGACTTCATTGAGCAGTAATAATCTAAAAAAAAAAAAGCATAGAACTGGTATTAAGGATGATATGTAAAATTGGTGATTTGTTGAAACACTTCTTCAGGTCTTTCTAAAGCTGTCCTGATTTGTGTAAATTTATTTGGTTAAAAAATGTTTTTATGGGATACTGCATCAGAAATATTATAATGAAATTGTAGCATTCTCTCTACAAAGTTATAGGACCCACAGTATATTACACAGTGGATATTGTTAGAAACTATTAAGTAAACTTTTTAAAAATAATTTTCCAATTTAACCTTAATATCACTTTATGAATGCCAAACATGTCTTCTAGCAAATGATTTTAGTTCCCTATGTATACAAGGTTTCAGAAATGTGAAGGTGTAGTATAATAATAAAGGTGTCTTTAAGCCTTCTCTCTTATGTGCTTAAGAAAATTTTCATGTTCTTTTTTCATCTCAGTTCCTACTGACTAGGAATGTGATTTCTAGCAATTTGATACAGTGGAAAAAAAGCTGAAGTGATCTTTGGAATTCACTATTGTAGATTTACATTAACTCTTCTCAGTCTGATTTTTTTTTTATTAAGGCTATAGACACGTAGTTCAAAATGAAAATCAGATAATTATTTGCTTATTTTTGTAGTATTCACTGTAAATTTGAAGGATTAAATATTCAGTATTCTAAACATGTTCTTTTTTTTTTTTAAAGAGAGAGTGAGAGAGGAGAGAGAGAGAGAGAGAATTTTTAATATTTATTTTTTAGTTCTCGGCGGACACAACATCTTTGTTGGTATGTGGTGCTGAGGATCGAACCCGGGCCGCACGCATGCCAGGCGAGCGCGCTACCGCTTGAGCCACATCCCCAGCCCTCTAAACATGTTCTTGACCCATGTATTACTAGACTTATCTAGTGAGTTGGCAGGACAGCTGGCTGTAGGTGTATAGTCATAAGAGCCTGTCTTTTTGTAAAATTAATTTATTTTAATTAGGTATATATGATAGCAGAATGCATTTTGATTCATTGTACACATTTGCAACACAACTTTTCATTTCTCTGGTTGTACATGATATAGCATCACACCATATGTGCAGTCATACATGTATCTAGGGTAATGATGTTCGTCTCATTCCACTACCTCTCCTGTCCCCATGCCTCCTTCCCTCCCCTTTCTCCCCAAGAGCCTGTCTTACTTATTGTTTCTTCATCCACCAGCATATACCCTATAGTATCTCTCATATAGTATTTCCTCATATCTTTGAATGTATGGAGGATGTCCATGATGATCTTCAACTAAATGTCTTAAATAGCAACTAAATAGTGAACCAAAGTAAACCTAGCTAGGGATTTTATCTTTCTACTTGGTTCAGGTTATTAGTGAGGTCTTTGAAAATACTCCAGTGATTTCTCATTTGCACCCCACCCACATGGAAAATATTACAGTTAATCAATCACATTTTCCTAAAATTCAACATTTATCTTCCATCTACCAGTTTAGCTGATATATTTATCATACTGTGAAACAGAAAGTGAGAATTTTATGCATCTAACCTACTACAAAATGTTTCCCCTCTTCACAATAGACCTGACTATCAGAAGAAAACTTCTAAATGAACTCCTCACAGAGAACACATAAAAAGACTTTAGCCAGATACAGGGAGGGAAATTCATCTAAGGTAAATGTTTTGATTGGAACATAGCATGCAGCACTGAAATTGGACAGCATCAGGCTGGAGAAACTCCTCAGGTTCTGTGGGGTTGGGTCTTTTCACATTTGGCTTCATTGTTTTGTTGTTGTGAATAGTCAGAAGGTCAAATATCAATTTATTCAAATAAAGTGGTCTATGTTTGTTACAAAGCTAAAATTAAGAGATCTTAGTATGGCCCTCTTTACTGATATTGCTGAAAATGAGTAAGAACATAGTATATAATATAAATACTATGTATATAATGTAAATACATAGTATATAATATAAATACTAATCTTTTATATAATAAAAGATTAAAATACTTGAAATTTATAACCCATTACAAATGTTAGCTATTAATATGTCAGTGCAATCCAGAGCTCATGGTAGTTTTGAATAATCTGTGCCTGCCTTTTTTGTTGTTTTTGTTTCTCAAGTTTTTGGTAATTATTGAGTTTAATAAAGTATAATAGTGTGATTTTTGTTTGTGATTAGTTCAATTTTTGCTGTTTGCACACACAGACTGTTTTGAAAAAAGCAGTCTATAGCCCATTTTCAATTACTTTACTTTAAGCCATATACCATAATGTGTAAGTCATTCGTAAATAGTGACAAATTGTTCTTTTTAAACTTCTTTAATCTTCCTTCTCTTTAGAATGGTGAGAGTATCATGGTTGAACTTGCAGCTGGACCTTTTGGAAATACTGAAAAGGTAGATATGACAACTAAATAGAAATTCCTGTCCAGTGAATGTATGTGTATTCAGTTAACTTTTGCCTTCCTGTGTAATTCATTGGTCATGTAGTGCATGTTAAGGTATTATAAACTTATTTCTCACAAAATGTAGCCCTTTTCTTAGTTATTCTAGATTATTAAATACCTATTGACTTGGGTTTCATCCTAGAATGTTGGAAACTTTGAGGAAGCCACTGCTCAACCCTCAGCTCCCCATGAGAAAGTAAGGACTGTATTTCAGATATGTTCATTGGACTTTAAATCATACCCTCTGAGACAAGACTTTTCTTTGGGGGAAAAAAATCCAGATTTGCCCAAAAAAAAAAATTATTTCAAATTCTGAGTCGTATTCTTGGTAAAAACAAAAAAAAAAAAGTTAGATGTGGGTATAGTGGACTAATATGCTTAATCCTACAAGTATTGGATTTAATTTTCCCAAAACTATAAGTTTATATTTTTCAATTTTTCTTTACATGTAGAGTTTGTTACACATATATGTATGCATACACACATACATATATATGCATATATCTACTCATACATATTTTATATATATATATACGTATATATATATATATAAATATATACACATACACATATATGTGCTTGGTTTATGTCCTCTGATTTCATTTTTTTTTTCAATGTCAGTTTGAAAATGTTCTTCATTCTAATGTCTTTCCTTTCTGAAAGAAAGATTGGGAAGAGGTTTATTGGTGGTTTTCCTTCCTTTCTTTTTTCCTTCTTGTTTTCCCTTTCTCCCTCCCTTCCCTCCTTTCCTCCCTTCCTTCCTTTCTTCCTTCCTTCCTTCTTTCTTTTTTTTTTCAACAGTTACCAGTAGTCATCAAGATACCAAAGCTGATTTATTTCTCAATAATGCATGTGTGCCTTCTGCCTGTTTCATTATTGGGTTTTGGAGACATTATTGTACCAGGTAAGTGATTATAACAATTTTAGTAAAAAATACTGATGGTTAAAAAATCATCACATGTACAGTATCGGTTAAAAGTTACCTATTCCATATTAAGTATTTTTGGCTGTTACTGTAGCTACACTCAGTAACAAGGTAGGAAAAAAACATTTTGAGGGATATAAGATAAAGCCCAAATAGTAAAAATCAAGTAAGATCTTCCATGGCTCAAAAGTATCTTAAAGCAAGCAWCTAGGATTAGTTTAACCTTCCCCAATAAAGTATATTTTGTGACCCTTTTTAGGAGTTGGATATAACAGTGCCAAACATTCACTTTCTATTACTTTTAGTTTTTAATAATAGTTATGTTTTGGGAAATAGTTTAATTATACTACACAAAGTCATGTTCGAGAGGAGAAACAATAGAACACCATTTTTTATGGCTTTCTAACATAAAAAGAAAGTTTTTAGGGAACTCACTCACTTTATCCTTACAGATATCGGAAATGTGCCTTATTGTCCTTATTGGATTACTTATTGAATTAACAATCCCAGACAAGTTATGATACAGTTTAGCTTTCTGTGCCAATAGCTGCTCTTGCAAATATGGTGAATGTCCCTAAAACTTGCTGGACTTATATAAGAACTATGAAAAGCAACAGTCCCACTAAGTAATACAGTACAAAAAAGGCAAAAATTCTCTGCCAAGGTACAGCAGTATTAGGACTGGAAGCAGAGTGGCCAATTCTCTGAAGGCTAAAACTACCAAGATTGTGATGAGGCATGAGTGTGTTGAGCCCATCTGTGGGTCTAAGAGAAAGCTGGCTATTAAGAGATTGTGAACTGGGAAAGGGCCAGTGATCCAGGTCTAAGATTCATCTCTTGTTTATTATGAATAAAGTCTTGAGATTATATTCATAAAAATATTATAGTTTAGAAGTAATTAATAGTATTTATCTATCAGTTGGAAGTTCATCCTTTTTTACTATTCTTCCAGTCTTCTTATGCACTAACTACCTGTGAATGAGTGAAAAATACTGGCTTTCTTTTGCAAAAGCCCTTCTATTTACCTGCTAAAACTATGCATATGTGTATGTATGGGTTGTGGGTACAGACAGGAGAGAAAAGCTAGCAATAATACCTTATGAGTTGACATGATGAAGTCCAGTATAGCAACTTAGTTCAGTGAGTTTTCATTCATATTATCCATAAGGAAGGGAATGCATTCTATTGAGTAACCTTATAGTTTCTTGAATATCTTTAAACTTGATATCTAAATATATCATTTTGACTTAGTGTCATACTAAGTGCTATAAGATTTTATGTATAAATTTTGGCATAGAATTGGTAAAAATATTATATAAATATCACATTCTTTCAGTAAATCTCAAATATCTCAAACAGAAATATGTCCCCAAGAGCAGAGTTATTGACAGTGATTCAATCTTAAGAGCTGAATTCTAATATAGGAGGAGGGTTGCGATTTTTTTTTTTAACACATAGAGATGTGTAAACAGCAAATGTAGTAAAAAATAGCAGAGAACTTGTTTTATTAGTTATGTGACAGACTAAAGCTAATTAATTCAAGCAACCAGTAAAGATAGTCCAGTTAGTCTATGGTTTTTAAGTGGTTGAATGTCATTCTGTTGTTTTATAAAGTATTTACTTAATGAATACAGTATGAGATTTCTTCTTTGGAGAGGTTCAATAAATTTCTTATAAGAAATGGGTTCGGAATAAATCATGTCTGCATATTTTCATGTTTACAAATGAAAGCTTGTATTTCATTGTTGAATTTTTCATATTAAAACTCCAAATCATTTTATGGTACCAGGAAGGAGACTTTTTTATTTTTATTTATATTTTATTTTTTTTTTATATTTATTTTTTAGTTTTCAGCGGACACAACATCTTTGTTTGTATGTGGTGCTGAGAATCGAACCCGGGTTGCACGAATGCTAGGCGCGCACGCTACCACTTGAGCCACATCCCCAGCCCTATTTTAATTTTTTTTAATTTTTTTTTTATTTTTGGTGGTTGTGCTGGGCACTGAACCAAGGGCCTTGTACATACTAGACAAGCATTCTACCAACTGAACTATATCTTTAGCCCAAGGAAACTTTTTTGATCCCAGTTAAATTGCCTTCCTTGATGCCTTTTAAGTATATTTTTAAACATACTTACATATATATTATTTAAATTGACAAAATGTGTATGTATTTATTGTGTTTATGTTTTGAAATACATATGCATTATGGAATGGCTTAATCAAGCTAATGAACATATACATTATTGCACATACTGGTTTTTTAAATTACTACTAGTTTTATTTTGTCTACTTTCTTTAATTCATACACCATCACATACTAATTTTTTTGTGATAAGAACACTTAAAGTCTACTCCTAGCAGTTTTCAAGAATATAACACAGGGCTAGTAACTGTCATTACCATGTTGTACAATAAACCTTAGCTTTATTCCTCCAATTTAAGTGAAATTTTTAACCTTTCAGCAATATCTCACCCCAGCCCCTGATAACTCCCATTTTACTCTCTACTTGTATGAATTCAAGATTTTGGTGGGGGGGGATTTTTTGTTTGGGGGAAATTTTAGAGGGGGGGTGTGAATACCAGGGATTGAATCTGGGGGCACTTAATCACTGAACCACATCCCTAGCCCTTTTTATTTTTTATTTTGAGACAGGGTTTTGCTAAGTTGTTTAGGGTCTCGCTAGATCTCTGAGTCTGGCTTTGAACTTGTGATCCTTCTGCCTCAGCTTCTTGAGCCACTGGGATTATAGGCACGTGCCACCACACCCAGCTAAACTCAACTATTTTAGATTCAACTTGCAAGTGAGATCATGCAGTATCTGTCCTGTGCCTGGCTTATTTTGCCTAACATAACATTTTCCAGTTTGATTTATGTTGTCACAAATGACAGAATTTATTTCTCTTTAAAGGATTTATAATATCTCATTTTTTTCTATATAGCACATTTTTTTATCTGTTCATTCATTAATGCACATTTAGATTGATTTTACATCTTGGGTATTGTAAATAATGCTGCAGTGAATATGGTAGTATACATGTCTCTTCACGTACTGATTTCACTTTCTTTATTATACACCCAGTAGTGGAATTGCTAAATCATATGATAGTTCTGTTTTCTATTATTTGAGGAACATCAAATAATCATTTTTTATAATGGCTATACTCATTTGTATTCCCTCCAATAGTGTGCAATTCCCTTTTCTCCACATCTTCTCCAACACTTATCTTTTCAGTTTTTTATGTAAGCCATTTTAACAGTTCTGCAGTAATATCTCATTGTGGTTTTGATTTGCATTTCTCTCATGATCTGTGATTTTGGACATTTTTTCATCTACCTGTTGGCCATGTATATCTTATTTTGAGAAATGTCTATTAAATCCTTTGTCCTTTGTTTTGTTTTTTGAGACAATCTCTCTATGTTTCTTAGGTTGKCTTCAAACTTCTGGGCTCAAGTGATCATACTGCTTTATACCCTCCCAAGTAGCTGGAACTATAGGCACATGCCACCACATCGGCTTCCTTTGTCCATTTTATTTTTTTTTTAAATATTTCTTATTTTTTAGAGTTTGTTGGACACAGTACCTTTATTTTATTTATTTTTATGTGGTGCTGAGGATCGAACCCAGGACCTCACACGTGTAAAGCCAGCACTCTACTGCTGAGCCACAACCCCAGCCCCTCCTTTGTCCATTTTAAAATTGGGTTATGTTTTCTGATCATTGAGTTTTGGGAGTACCACATGTATTTTGGATCAACCTCTTATCACATGTATGATTTTCAGTATTCCTATACCATAGGTTATATTTTCACTCTTGATCATTTCTGTGGCTATGCAGAAGCTTTTTCATTTTATGTAATCTCACTTGTCTATTCAATATACTTTGTAGTGAAACATTTAAAAAAWTTTTTCCATAACATGAAAGAACAAGTAATAAAAATCATGTTTTTAACCACTGTTTAATGGTTTAGAGAATCTTTTTTTAACTTTTTTTTTTTAGTTATAGATGGACACAATATCTTTATTTTTTATTTTTATATGGTTCAGAGGATTGAACCCAGTGTCTCACGAATGGTAGGCAAGCACTTTACTTCTGAGCCACAACCCCAGTCCCTAGGGAATCTTTTTAAAATATAGCATTAAATTTTGGAAATCAGGGGGCTGGGGATGTGGCTCAAGCGGTAKCGCGCTCACCTGGCATGCGTGCGGGCCGGGTTMGATCCTCCGCACCACATATAAACAAAGATGTTGTATCCGCCGATAACTGAAAAATAAATATTAAAAAATTCTCAAAAAAAAATTTTTGGAAATCAGTATATCAAACTTTTCCAGAATTTGAGGTACGTTAATGATCTCGTAATGCAAAAAGGAAAGTGAAATATAGAACAATATATATTGTTCCCCTTAGTTAATAATTGAATTTGTATTACTGGTGTTGTTTTAAAGAAATAATGTGGAATTTTTATTTTTGTTTTTTAGGCCTGTTGGTTGCATACTGTAGAAGATTTGATATTCAGACTGGTTCTTCTTCTATATACTATATTTCTTCTATAATTGGTAAATTTTGCTTCTTCTTTTTTATATATATATTGAATTGGGATGCCTGAAGAAAAGACAAAGATCTAAAACTTAGGAGTCCCAAATTCTAATTATTTGCTATAAATTATTAATATATATTTTTCTATCAAAAGGGGTAATTATACTTTACAATTTATATCACAAGGTTTTGGTGGCTTAAAAAGAAAACTAGATGTATAATGCTTATTAAAATACCTGGCACACAAATAGTCAGTAAATTGATTATTACTAGATTTTTTTAAAAAGGTATGCAAAGTTTGTATTTTAATTTATTACACAATAGTATCTCACCTGGAACAGCAAAGGTAATTGTCACTTAAACCTCTACTTTTATTAATGAGAACAGAGTTAATAAAAGAAAGTAAGCCAAAATATACCCTACTATTTCTTAACATATCAAATGAATATCTTAAAGTTCACACACCAAAGCGCTTTATGCTTAAGTAAATGACATGCACCAGAGCCAGTTAGATGCTGTTCTAGCAAAGTTTTCAAGTCTACAGTGGAATTAAATCCAGTAAACTAAAAATGTATATTAATATAGTGGGCTGGGGCTGTAGCTCAGTGATAGAGCACTTGCCTCACATGTGAGAGGTACTGGGTTCGATCCTCAGCACCACATTAAAAATAAATAAATGAATAATAAAGATTCTACTCTCCCCTCCAAAATACTTTATCATTTATTTTTTTAAAAATATATATTAGTACTAGACAAGGATGTTGCTAAGAATTAGTATCCTGACAAGAAAGAACACCTAAGTTAGAGATAAAGAAAAGAATATACAGGAATAAGAAAGCTGGTCTGCAGTCATTAATTATGGTACTCTTTTTTTTTTTTTTTTTTTTTAAAGAGAGAGAGAGAGCGAGAGAGAATTACAATATTTATTCTTTAGTTTTTGGCGGACACAACGTCTTTGTTTTGTATGTGGTGCTGAGGATCGAACCCGGGCCGCACGCATGCCAGGCGAGCGCTACCGTTTGAGCCACATCCCCAGCCCCTAATTATGGTATCTTAAAGACATTAATGGGTTAGATTTCAGTACTAATGACCATGACAGGCTAAAGAACACATTGAGGGGGCTGGGGATGTGGCTCAAGTGGTAGCACGCTTGCCTGGCATGCTCACAGCCCGGGTTCGATCCTCAGCACCACATACAAACAAAGATGTTGTGTCCGCCAAATACTAAAAAATAAATATTAAAATTCTCTCTCTCTCTCCCTCTCTCTCACTCTTTAAAAAAAAAAAAAGAACACATTGAGACAGATTATAGGAGACTTTATCAATTCTTTTTTTTTTAATTATTTTTTAGTTGTAATTGGACGCAATACCTTTATTTTATTTATTTTTATGTGGTGCTGAGGATCAAACCCAGGACCTCGCATGTGCTAGGCAAGCACTCTACCCCTGGAGCCCGGCCCCGAGGCTTTATCACTTCTGCCATAAATCTGAGCAACCTGCACCACTTCCCTTATCCTCCATTTCCTCATTTTTAAAATGAGTAACTAAACTGTCTGCAAAGGTCCTTCCAGCTCTAATAGTCCGAGAACTTATGTTCATAAGGAAACCATGAATCGTTATGAAAATTTCACATAATGTTTGGTGTGTGCTTATTAAAGAAGCCTAGGAAATATGTATTTAGTATTAGGAAAATTTTTTTCAAAGCAACCCTTGCTTCCTATAGGTACAGATTGAGTTATTTAAAATGTAAACAACTCAACATTCTTAATAACGAGAAACAATTGGTACTTTTTCTTAAGTTATTATATTCTTCCAATTTTAAATTTTTCAAAAGTTCTATAGACTGTCTCTGCTCATTACTATCTAGGAAAACAGTGAAATTATGATAGGAAGTCATTACAAAAGTGTTCTCAAAAATATTTGAAGAACTATAATGGAGGAAATCTACCTTTGGTAGCATGTAGAAATAACTAATGCTTGATATTCTTCTTGCAGCCTATGCTGTTGGTATGATACTTACATTTGTTGTTCTGACACTGATGAAAAGGGGGCAACCTGCTCTTCTCTATTTAGTACCTTGCACACTTATTACTGCCTCAATTGTTGCTTGGAGACGTAAGGAAATGAAAAAATTCTGGAATGGTAGCAGCTACCAGGTATGTGCTTAYACTTAATAATTCTCTGAGTTTGGCTGGAAGAATATATATGTCTACCTGCTGCAACATCAGTTCTTACCTCTCATTGCAATCTAATGCCAAAAACCTGGTGGGTGACTCAAGACAAAATTACCATCAAACCGTGGGAGGCATCAAAGAAAACAAGATGGCCAGTGATGAAAATAACAAGAAACATACATAATTCTATAAGATAGTAGATGTTGCTCTCACTAACAGCCCCAAGTTCAAATTCTAAATTGAACAAAGATTTTGTGTCAACCCTAATCAAAATATCCCCATATTGTCTTCCTTGTCTTATTTTACCTCATAGTTAATCAGTAGTGCCCCTAATGGCAGAAACTTCTTGGTCACAGTTCTTAAGTGTTTTCCTCTCCCTCTCTATTCTCACTCATTCACTGTGAATGCCAATGACATTGTCACATTTCTGTCTGCATCCAGGTCTGTCTCCTGCCCATCAGACCCATTTATTCAACTGACTGTTCTTTCTTTCTTTCTTTCTGGTGAGTCTATAAGTACTCTGAAATGTCCAACACTGAATTCACCTCCAGCACTTAACATGTTCAATATTGAATTCATCATCTTCTTCCCCAAATCTGTTCTGTCGTCCATTCTTTCAACTCTACTTCCTATGCCTCTCCTCATACTGAATCTATCACCAGACACCAATAATTTTGCCTCCAAATTTCTCTTGACATTGTTGACTTTACTTTAATGTGGGTTACAAGACTCTACAGACTCTCACCCTTGCTTCCTTCTCCAGATGTCACCTCCTGTAGCTCCCCTAACCTCCCTCAACATTATAGCCATCCTGAACTTCAGTTTCTAGCATGTGCCATATTCTCTCCCCTCCAAGCCATTGAAGATTTGGTTCCTTCAAGTTGAACACATGACTCAGCCTTAAAGTTTCAACATAAATTTAACATTCTTTAGAAAACTTTCCCCAAATTGCCTGTGCCCCTGTCCTGAATTCACAAGCACTAGATGTCCCATTTCTAGATTCCATGGCACCTACCATTACCAATAAATTTATAACATTTTATTGTTAGTGACTACTGCATTCCCTACTAGACTTTGATTTTCTTCCTTTCTTTCTTTTTTTTTTTTTCTTTTTGGTACCAGGGATTGAATCCAGGGGTGCTTAACCACTGAGCGACATCCTCGCCCTTTGTATTTTTTTTTATTTTGAGAGAGTCTCACTAAGTTGCTGAGGCTGGTTTTTGAATTTATGATCCTCCTACCTTAGCCTCCAGAGCTGCTGGGGTTACAAGCATGTGCCACCATGTCAGGCAAGATTTTGATTTTCAAGGAGCCATGAGAATAGGCTTTTTATAACTTATTCCTATCTCATAGATATGCTCAATAAACATTTATTAAATAAAGAAATATAAAACTACTTATAGTATTCTATAGCTAGGCTGGATGCAGTAACACCTATAATTCCAGRGACTCAGGAGGCTGAGGCAGGAAGATTGCAAGATTGAGGCCAGCCTGAGCAACTTAGGGAGACTCTGTCTTAAAGTAAAAAATAGAAAGAGTTGGCGATTGTAGCTGAGTAGTAAAGTGCCCTGGCTTCAATCCCAGACACTGCTAATGATTTTTCTGTCAATACCAATGATTCTTTTTTACCAGGGAAAAGGAAAAAAAAAGAGCAGGGTATTCTCATGCACACCAGCAGTTCCAGCTACTCAAGAGGCTGAAGCAGGAAGATCACTTGAGCCCAGTTCAAGGCCAGCCTGGGCAACACAGTGAGATCCTGTCATAAATAAATAAATAAACAAATAAATAAATAAATAAATAAAGGCTAAGAGGTTCTTTGGGGGGATGTGGCATTCAAAGATTAGTAGTAGAATATGTATTGCAGGATATACTTTTATTTTTTCTTTTTAAATCTTTAAAAATAAAAAATCTGTTCTTGCTTAGTATGTGTGAGTTACTGGATTTAATCCTTAGCGCACACTCAAAAAAAAAACTGTGTGGGTGTCATCTTCATGGAAAAATTAAAAGTTATTTTACTAGCTTAGTCAAGAACCTTGTGGCCATAAACATATTCTAAGTAGTTTAATATAAATTGAGACAACAGCACTGTGAGGTAAGCAGCACAGGTATTATTTATCCAAATCTCAAAAGAAATTACAAGATTTAACCAGAAGAATTCTAAACCAGTGCTTTTTCCGATTATAATAGCCTGTGTTAACTATCTCTTGTTAAATAACAGTACAAATGACACTATAGACCAACCACAAGATGGACATGAACTTTGAACTGTTTATTGATAGAATTTCAGCCACTCAGAATTTCTCTCATTTTGTTCATGAGACCACTGATACACAGGCATAAGGATGGATGGAGGAGGGAAGTTTGCTGTGATAGGGCAAAGCAGAGGTAACTGCTCCACTAAGTGCCTTCACTAAGGGTTCAGTGCGATGGTCCTGACCTCAGTAGATAAGAGTTTCTCAACACTTCTTAATTTCAATGCAAACAGACTTTACTGGACTATCAGGAACGTCCCTAAAGAAAAAACCTTAAACATAACATTGTGGTGTCAAGGTTTTGTTCTAGGAATTTTAAAGAAAGGCCAATCTTGACCCATTTAACCTGAAATGAATGCTCTATCAATGTTATTTAGGCATATCTGCATGTTAGAATATTTTTTTATGTGAAAAACCTTAGGACTGTTAACTATGAATGGCTCATGTCAGTCTCAAAATTCATTTCTCATTTTAAACGAAGTTTACTTCATAAGGAGTTGGGACAACACATCCAGTATTGTCAGGACAGGGGCACAGGCAATTTGGGGAAAGTTTTCTAAAGAATGTTAAATTTATGTTGAAACTTTAAGGCTGAGTCATGTGTTCAACTTGAAGGAACCAAATCTTCAATGGCTTGGAGGGGAGAGAATATGGCACATGCTAGAAACTGAAGTTCAGGATGGCTATAATGTTGAGGGAGGTTAGGGGAGCTACAGGAGGTGACATCTGGAGAAGGAAGCAAGGGTGAGAGTCTGTAGAGTCTTGTAACCCACATTAAAGTAAAGTCAACAATGTCAAGAGAAATTTGGAGGCAAAATTATTGGTGTCTGGTGATAGATTCAGTATGAGGAGAGGCATAGGAAGTAGAGTTGAAAGAATGGACGACAGAACAGATTTGGGGAAGAAGATGATGAATTCAATATTGAACATGTTAAGTGCTGGAGGTGAATTCAGTGTTGGACATTTCAGAGTACTTATAGACTCACCAGAAAGAAAGAAAGAACAGTCAGTTGAATAAATGGGTCTGATGGGCAGGAGACAGACCTGGATGCAGACAGAAATGTGACAATGTCATTGGCATTCACAGAGAGTGAATGAGAATAGAGAGGGAGAGGAAAACAGGACAGTCAGCCTTTTCTGTGAATTTCTCACATCAGAAGAAGTAATGTTTCTATAGGGTTATCATTAAAATAATGCTGATTTGGAAATATTAACTATTTTTTTCTACAGCCCAAAGCTAGTTATACTATATTTCTTTTGACCCTTTTCTGAAGTGGTTCAAGAACTACAGGACTCAGTTCTATTGGTTCCATTTTACTCAAAGCCTTAGTTCTAATTAAGGTAAATAAATGTATTTTTCTCTAAAGAGAAAAATCAAGCAGAGTCATAATTATTTTGATATATGTAGAACAATTAAGAGGAACCATCTTAGGGGATTTTTGTTTCTTTATTTCTAATATTAAATCAGTGAAGTTAGATTTATATAACTTCCGGTGGGCTATTCTACTCTGGGTAGATAGTAAGTTTTCAGTTTATTGATGTCTAAGAAATAGTGAGTTTGTCTCTGTTAAATGTCATTAGTACTTTACTTATTTTTAGAAGTCACAAGCTGTAACTGAAAAGTCAGAGTACAGAGATACTTAGAATGACTCTGCTTGAGGATCAACAACTCCAGTTACCTACTTCAGTGAGTTTTGTTAGACTGTTTCTGGAGATTGGTTCAATTCTAAGTAAGTAGAGCTATCAGAAAGTGCCAGGTTAACTGACACAATTTCAAGGGACACTTTCCAAACTACAAATTGCCTATTTATAAATATTATGAAAATTTATACCATTTTTGCCAGTTAACTTTATTATCTATGTTGATGTGTTACTAAAAGCTTACTTTAAGTTTGCTATTTGTTTCTACACTGGTTTTATTGGAAATTCAATAAAGAAAGGTGAATAGGGGATAGATATGCTTACTTCTCAAGAAATTGACTTTGAAAAGTGTTTTACTTCATGTTTCTATATTTAGTGGTAAGATTTTAATGCTGGTGAGGTACCTGGGGATTAGGAAGAAGAGACATTTTATAACATAGAATATGGAAGCCCTTATTTCTTTAGGGATGGTTGTGAGAGTAAGCAGGTCTTGTGGAAGAAAGACTTTTACCACCATTCATACTTTCAGTGCTGCTTCAGTTTTCTCTCCCAAGGGATATATATATATAAATATATCTCACATGTTTCTCCTTTCCTTTCTTCATTTAAATTGTGACTAAAATGAACTGTTCATGGGCTTGGGTCAAAGCTTGCATAGCATGTGTGAGGCACTGGATTCAGCTCTCAGCAGTGCATATAAATAAATAAAATAAAGGTCTATTGACAATGAAAAGAATTTAAAAAATATTAACTATTTAGCAGTTTCATCTTATATTTCAAATAGTGAAGTGCTTAATACGTGTTACCTGTCTTAATTTGGCTTTTATTTATTTATTTTTAAACACCACAAACCTGGAAATATGTAAGAGAATAAATAACTCTGAACTACGGTATTATAATTCCAAACTTTTTATTGTATTTAATTTTTTGTTTGTTTGTTTTTGTGATACTGGGAATGGGAAACAGGACTTCATGCATAATGGGCAAGTGCTTTCCTACTGAGCTACATCCCAATTTCTTTATTCCCCCTTCTTCCCTATAATTCCTGTGTACATGTAACTAAATTAATCTGGAGGTGCGGGGGGCATCTTTGGCAAATAAGGACCACAGAACTGACTGGGGACTTGATATGACCCAGAGAATTGACAGGTCTGGGCTTTTTAAGTTTTCTCCATTGGTTGAGACATTGTCACTGAAAGCCTCAGCTCATGTTGTATTCTGTTTATTTGGCAAATCCAAAACCCCCATTTAGAAAACCCCCATTTCTTACTTTTCAAAAAAAAACTTAGTGTTCTAAAGCTTTTAGAACCAGTTTACAAAAATAGTGTATCACATTACTAAAATTTAATCATTAGCCTAAAAGTCTTCGAGGATCTTCACGAAAAACAAAGATTTTTTTTTTTTTTTAATGTTGATGGTGGTGGGGGATCAAATCCAGGCCCTTATGCATACTAGGAAAATGCTCTACTATTGAGTTTCATCTCCAGCCCAAAGACAATAAATACTTTTTTTCTATTTTTAAGTAGTTTTATCTTAAGAACAGGGTAAAAATTGCTGAAAATGTTAAGCAATTTCTTCTCCTTTATTCCCAAATATAAAACGATTTTTATGGGAATATGGGCAGAGCTGAAAAGACCAACTGAGAAAAGCTTAAAGGTAATACTTTTAAAATAGTCTATATAGCAAACATAGTCTTGGTTTTGTTTGCAAGTATCATTTGACCTTTAAGTGCCTGCAAGTTTGTTTTTTAGTAGAAATTTTTGTTATATAATGTTTCAAAAATTCCATGTATCATTCTTAAATTATCTTAAGATCAGTTCAAGGTGTCAATAAGATTACACTGTCCCAGAGCCAGTAGGTATTCTCACAGTGACATCTGGATCTAGTTTTAGATTTTCCACTTATATGGGTAGATAAAGTGGAATTATGTCCTAGAATAAGCATCAGAAATATCTTCCTTTTGTGGTGGAATTTTCATTGCCATGAAGGGCAGTATTCACGTTGCAAAATGAAAGTAATAGAAGGTCCAAAGAAAACAGTTATCAAATTGGCACTGAGTCACATGTTTAGGCTTCCTGAAAAATTTGTTATTACCCTAACCATCTCCTTATGAGCATGGATATTGAACCAGAACAGTATTACAAAAGGAATGTTAGTTCCATGGAGCCCTCTGTATATTCCCACTGTGTCTTTTATAGAAACTAGGAATCCTTTTGTTGAATTATTGAATATAGGAGGCAAGTTAAAAGTTTTCATTTTCTGACAGCTTTTATTTATTCATGCCTAGATGATGGACCATCTGGACTGTTCAACAAATGAAGAAAACTCAGCAACTACTGATGAACAGATTGCCCAACAATAATATTATATGGACCTGCAATAATGTTATTGATTTTCTACAAATAAGAGTTTGACTTTTTAATTCAATTCCTGAATTGACAATCCAAAAGCATTTTCAATGATGTGTTTGCAAATATATATTTTTATGAGCTGATACAGACAATTATTTCATAGATAATTAAAATGCATTTACTTTTAATTATGTTAAAGTTGTGCCTTCGAATTAAATAAAAGTATATGGTCTGTGTAATTTCTAAGATGTATTGTATACAGTATATTTTTCTAAAAAAAATCTTGATTAATCCCTGTATTTTCCTTACTGAAATATATTTCTTTCAACTCTAATGATAGATCAAAGTGTAACTATCAAAGCAAGATTTTTTGTTAAAGGATTAGACATATTTTATCTCCTGTATAAAATAAAGTATTTAAGACCATGCAAGAAGGCAAATAACAGTGAAAATTTGGACCTCATATCATACCAAGTTTAGAAATATATTATTTGGGAATAAATATAAACATTTTTATACTTTTTTAAAAAATTACAACCCTTTTTTTTAAACTTGAGAAACTAAATTACTTCAGACTGCAATGTGTGTTAGAATATTTTTCCAGATATAGAGAAACAGAAGTTATTTAAAGGACACAAAAACTGAAGTCTAGTTTGTAGTAGTACACCATTATTTGAAGATGTAGTTGGTATTTCTGATCTTTGAAATTTGGTTTTGCTGCTGTTAAGGTTTGATCATTAAAAAAAAAAATTCTGATCCAATTATATATTAATATATGTGGCTCAGTATGTGTAACATCCTTTCCCTTCCCTGTTACCTTTTTTCTAATTTTCACTTTTCCCCATAAATAACAACTATTAACCTTGGAAGCATACAAGTACAAGTGTACTTTTGTATCTCAGTTTTTCCACCTACAAAATGAGTGGGTTGAACTAGTTATTCACTCTGTAACTTCCAACTTGGAAAAATCTTTTTTCTCATTCTTTGTAAAATCTCAGGTGGGGCTTTGAACATTTTCCTGGAAAATGCACATTGTTTTTCCATTTTCTTTTATTTTCTCTAAGAAATTTCTAAATGACAAGTGATTGCAAAAGCAACAGGATTTTGCATTTCTGTGAAATAATACACAAAATATGTGAACAGAAGCCAGGCATGATGGCACACACCTGTAGTCCTAGATGCTCAGGAGACTGGGGAAAGAGGAGTATTTGAGACCAGCCTGGACAGCATAGCAAAATCCTTTCACATTAAAAAAAAAAGTGAAGAAATCTATTCTCTCATTCTAAGACCAATTTAACTTATTAAAAGATAAAATTAATGTCTTTCAAAATGGATCAGACCTTTGATGTTTGCGTTAAATTTAGCATTAGATGCTTTTATTTGTTAACTTTTGCTTAGTAAATTGAAAATAGAGAAACTCCATTTATAGTCAACTCTTCTTTCTACTTAATACAGTTATGAGTCCTCTTATTATGACAATTTATAAGTAAGAATTGATCTTAATTTTGCCTTTGTTTTATATCAAGTTTGGATTTTTTCAAAGGAATCTAATTTATTTGGCACATTTGATAAAGAGAAGAACAAATTAAGTGGCATTTTAAAACTCCCATTGTATTTTCATTTATAATGTCAATAAAATATTTACCAAAATACAGCTTTTTAAGCAAAATTATCCAAACTTTATGATATTCAAAAGCCTCAACTATATACTATGAAAAAAAATGCTTTTTAAAAAAAACTACATTGAGGTAAGACAATTGCTTGAAATAATTTGATTTCATTAACTAGTAACTAATATTTTAATTTCTTAATCTAATTTTACTCCAGGAAAACATTAACTGAAATATAAAATCTGACTTATTGGATACAAAAACTTACGTAATCATTATTTATTAAGGAAGTAAAATCTTGTTCTAGTTACCTATTAAAAGCTTATTTATTTTTTCGGTAATGCACATATTAACTTAAAAAATAAAAGCTTTTTAAACAACAACAAAAAAGCTTATTTATGGGCCTGGTAGAGCACTGGCCTAACATATACAAAGCCCTGGGTTGGACCTCCAGTAYTACAACCAAAAGGAAGAAGTCTTACTAAATAGAAATAAGGAAAAAGTCAGTGCAGATGCCTGTAATCCCAGCTGTTCAAGAGGATGAGGCAGGAGGATTGCAGTTTTGAAGCCAACCTGGGCAACTTAATAAGACCCTTTCTCAAAATAAAAAATTAAAAGGGCTGGGGATGTAAAGGTAGAGGACCCCTGGGTTCAGTTTCCACTAACACAAAGAAAAGAGAAAAGTAAAATTTTTGGAGTCTCTCCACCCTCAATGTCAACTTTTTATTGAACTTAAACTGTCTCCCTGGCAAACTAGTTCAAAATAGTTATTTAGACAACATATAGGAATATTTTATTTTGGGAATCAAAATGAACAAAGCATAGGGAAGATGAAAATTTGTCTTTAAAAAGTTCTATCATTTCTTCTTGTGTTCTCCTACCACCAATAACTTTTAAGAGGAAGAGATGCTGGGTTTTTCCAAACGTGTCTAAACAACAAGATATGTTATACTTATTAATGTTTACTGTAAAAAATTTTACTGCTAGAAAGTCCCTATGAACATTTTTGTGACTTATCAAATGGAACTCAAGTTATCTCAGATTGTGAGACGGATTATTTTTCTATCAGTTTAAGTCAGCAAAAATAAATAGGCTTATGAGGAAAGACCTTGTTGGTATCCTAATATATTTTATTTCCTTCTAGCTTGTAGATTTTTTTTTACATCAACAATTCCTTGTAAGAGACTGCGGTTTATTACCCTTTTGATAGAATTTGGGCCCCTTTTCTATTGTCATTTGTATATTTGAGTTACATGTCTATAGAGATTTTGGTGAATGATACATTTATAATAAATATAAAGGAATTTTCCAATTTTCTTCATTCTTTCAATTTCTGCATTAAATATAACCGAAAAATATTTTTATATTTAACTAAAAAATATTTGAACTAATTTATTAAGTTTGGCCTCCAATTTTAGCCTGATAGTCAAATGAAATTTCAGAAACATAAGAATTATATTTCAGACTAGTGGGAGGTACTGGTTTAAAGAGGCTTTATAGTTTTCCATTGGTAAGATTAAAAGTTGAATTTATTCAAGATGATGATAAATGATCAATTTTACAGTTCAAAAAATTCATTTTCAGTGCCCTGTTTACCTTAGAAGATAATTCTAAAGGGGGTTATATGAGGGTAATGCAAATAAAATGCTGACTATAAATCACTTTATGCTTCCTGGAAGAAAAATACTCTGTGAATTTCAAAAGATCTGAGTCAAATTATTCAACCTTTGAAATATGAGTATTGTGTTTGATCACTGAATTTTTAAGGTAAAAAAAATTGACAGTAATATATAGGCCTTAATATAGCAAAGACTGGAAATATAAATTAACATGTTTAGTGTTTCTATACTAAGGACAGCCTTTATATATGAAAATGTTCATTGGGGGGTAAATTATTTTAGTTGTACCTTAGTGGCAAATAAGGTACAACTAAAATAAAGCAGAATATTTAATGTCATCATGTGGTACTTTGATTAAACAAAAAGTATTGTAAACAGCTTTTCTATTCCTTTGAAATATACTTATTTTTAAAATATCTATAGTTCATCCACTTACATTGCAATATTTCCCAGTAAGGCAGACAAGTCAATGTAAATTAGTTGGCTTTTGCCTATTGTTTAACCTTCTGTTGTATTTTGCTGAAATGAGAACCTTATGAAAAAGTAATGTGGTTTGCTATTATATACTTTATTTGCTAGTATATACTTTATTAAGCACTCAAATTTTTTTTACACTTTGATATGTAAGTGTCAATACTTTTATAACACTACTAGGCTTTATTTTCTAATGGAACATGATTTCAAGTTTAAGATTTTTTGAAGTGTTAATTTACCAGTACCTTAAAATTATTCATCATGTGCCAATACTGACAAGAAAAACATTTTTAATGTATGGAATTCACTATAGTATTTAATAAATTCTATTTTAAAATAAAAACTGAATTTGTTTTATTTTATGTAGTGAAAAATAATTGAAAATGAACCAAAAGTTTACTAGATAGTGTTTACATATAACAACTCTTACAAAATAGTGTGTTTACTTAGGTCTAACAAACTACCCTTAAAATCCACAATCTGAGGGTGGTGGGAATTTATATTGTTACATACTAGCACTTAATAAATATTTACTAATATATGTATAGACTTTTTTCTTTTTTAAAGGAAGTATTAATCAATTATGAGGAATATTCCTGGTGTTTGCAGCTTTGCAAATGTGTTTCCACAAATTACCAAATTCCTTATTGCGATTGTATTGCCTTTTTTTTTTTTAAACTTGGTATCAAATCCAGGGCCTCACCCATGCCAGGCAAGCATTCTACCTACCACTGAGCTATATTCCTAGATGAGATTGGCCTAAATATGTGTCTATGGTTTATCTTGATGGCATGATGAGAAAGTCCTTTATTTCCCTGCATGCCCTGATGCAAAGGAACTTTATTTCATCCCACAGACCCATCTATCTGCAAAGATACAGAGGAACTGTATCTAGGGAGTGAAATTATAAGATGGCTGGGCACAGGGATGAGAAGGAGACTTCTTTCTCCTGTATAATCTTGTATGTTCTGCATTTGCTATTACATACTTTATTAAACATTCAAAATACAAATGATTATACAAAATATTAGTCATTCTACTTTTAATTGGTGTTCATGCTATCTGCTGGATTATTCATATTAACACAAAGTTGTGTTTTGCTTTTGGCTCTTGTGTCTTCACGAGATTTCAAGGGAGACCTGAGGTGTAGTGAAGGTGTAGGAAAGTTTAGTAGAAGAGAGAAGGGCAGGGGCACTCTCAAGGGAGAAATGGATCATCTAAAGAATCAACAACTCACTTCTTTGTGAACTCAGTTATTTTAGAGTAGGAGAGGAAATTTCCAGAGGGTCCCACTTGAGTACCACCTCCTAGCTCTTGATTGACAGTTGGATTATATCAGATTTCTAAATCCTTATTGCATATGTCATACTCTGAGGGTCTAAGTGAAACACAGAGGTGTGAAAATTTATAATTACAATAAGATTAAATAATGTGCCAACAATCTGAAGGCAACTTTGATCATCTTGGATTGCACAGACTGATTTTATCTGGAACTTTCTTTTGCAGACCTTGAGGCTATTGAGTATTCCAGCCTCCAGTAAGGGCAATCTGTCTTCTTATCAAAGGAGGAGTTTAGGCAAACACTCCTCAACCCTGTGAGTAATGTGTTATGGGGCTATTATCTTAAGTGATAGCAGGACCAGAATGACTGTAAGTTGTTTCTTTAAAAAACATATTGACAGCACATAGGCTCAGTCTTTAGAATTAACCCCTCATTTTCCATGTTCCCACTGCCTATCTCTACCTGTTCATTATCAATATCATTTTCTTTTTAAAATATTTTTTCTAGTTGTAGATGGACATAATGCCTWTATT